GGATACATAATTGTTATATCCTATTGTTGGACTGATCCCTTCATCATTAGGTAATGTATTTCTTTGTCTTGTTACTTGTTTTGCATTTACATTTAAGGTAGTTATTGATAGGTATGTACTTATTCCCATTTTATTGTTTTCTGGTTGTTCTTGTAGTTCTCTCTGATCCTTCCTCTCTTATACTCATTATTGGATGGTTTTCTTCAGTATTGTGACTGGATTTCTTTAAAAAATTTTTTGTGTGTATCTATTGTAGGCTTTAAGTTCGTTTTTACCATAAGGTTCATAGTTTCCTAAATGTATGTCTATATTCTTGTTGGTACTGCTTAGTTGACAGGATGGGTGGGGCAGTCACGTGGCTCTGGATAATGGAGATAAATAGGCAACCTCGATAATTCAGACAGTGAGAATGAATAGGAAAAAATAAGAGCAGGATAATATAATAGGAAGTGCCTAGGGATCAGAGGTCAGTAGCCAATTTAGAGGAGGTGAGAGGTCTCAGGAATTTCACAGAGAGTAAATAACAATGATCAAAAATAGGCAGGAACATTCCAAAGGGTAAAAAACAAATGCAACATCCCAAGACTAGAAATGTCTTGGCAGTTTTGAGAAACAAGAACCAAACAGTGAATCTAGAATACACTGTTCCAGAGTGGTGAATAGTGGTAAAAAGGTTTTTATATGGGCCAAGGAAAGAATGGACTAGGGGATGCACACAGTAAAGCAGCAGCATTTCCAGATGATGAATGATAAGTATGAAGTTACCATCTGTAAATCCAAACTTACACATATAGCTCCACTCTCTTGTTCAGAGCAATGTTTTACTGTTATGGACTCCAGAAGATGTTCTCTAACTGTAATCAACTAAATATTACTTTAAAATTGGGTATCATAATGATCTTTGAATTAAAAGGTGAAGAGAGAAATTTCAAATTACTGAAAGATAATGAATTGGCCTGAAACAAAGGAAATTTGATTTCTGTAGATTTCAGTTTCTAACTGGCTTTGGAGGTGGCATGAGCCACTAAAACTCTCTAACCCTCATCAGTAATAAACACTGAAAAAATAACAGTAATGCATACTAACTGAAAAAAGTGAGAATAGAGCATCTGTAAAATTCCATTAATAATTAAATATTTCTGTATTTAATGGACACAAATCATTCAAAAGTTATCTAAATCAGAAATCAGGGTTTCAAAAAATATCCAATACTTATTGGATAATTTATCTAGTAATAAATTGAAGCTAGATAAATTTTTTAAAATACCTCCTATGTAAAACAAACATTTTCTAGACTGAAATATGGGGATGTATAAAATGAAAAATTATTTTGAGATTTCTACCCAATGTTGCTTAATAGCCACAATTATGCTTTTCAATATAGTATTTAGGAAAGGTTTTTAAATAAGCTGTTCAAGTATAAGCTCAGAGACTCCTGGGAATGTAATTATCTGGTTTGTTTTGAGTCAGACTGTCTGCAGTTAGTCTAGTGTTTTAATAAGGTCTACAAGGATTAGAACCAGTCAACACATGAATTATGAAACTTCTAGTCAACCTGAAGAACAGAGGGGAAAAAAAAGAAAACTAAATCATGTGGGAAATTGGGGTATCCTTACAGGACTGTGGATTACTTACAACCATAGCAACTGTCAGTTGGGAAACCAGGAAATACAGGGTTCAAGCAAGAAAGGTTTTGTCACTTAAGGAAAAAAAAATGTATTTCTCAACATGTGAACTTTGCCAGCAGAATAGGAAGATACTCATATGTTTTAACAAACACCACAGGTAATTTAAAAAAGAAATCTTAAGCTTGACTATTTTAGAAAGAAAATAGTTATGAGTTTTTCTCTAGAAATTTGCCATATATATTTAATGAAAATGTTTTTCCATTATTTGTAATTGAATTTATTACTTTTGGTATTTAACATTATAAATTGATTATAATCAATGTTGTTCATTTCTAGATGACTTCTCCAAACTCCAAAAATGTTTTTATAAAAAGAGAAACTTCAGTGGACAGAAATCCACAGTCCCAAAATCAACAGAGCCTCAAGATAAAGGGAAAAGAAACAAGTCAAGGAAAGAATATTTATTTTGATGGAGCAAACAAGCCCAAATCTAAGATAAATATAGCAGATTTCTCTAGACAAACCCATAATTGATTTAGAGAGAGAGCTTACTGATTGAATTGTCATTGTAAGTGATGATGAAGAAATCCATCTCTATTAAAGGTCAAAAGGTGATTTTAAGTAAAGCAACACTGTGGTGTATTTCCATTATTACTACCTGAACAGCATGTAGTTCAAATGGTCCCTGATTAGCTGTCACAATTATCAAGTATACTAATAGGTAAACCACTTTTGATACTCATTAAAATATCTCCTAACTTCAACCTTTCCTGTAATTCTTACCCATCAATCTTACCATACTAATTTCCCTTCTGAGATGAGACTATGACTGGCTCATGAACATCACGTCTGGCAACTATTTCTGACTGATTGATGAAATGTGCTTTCTATTACCACCAGTCCCACGAGTCTGGGTCCTGCATGACTCCTCCAGATGCTCCTAGAGGGCAACCAGGCCCTGGGAGAAAGGTAGAAACGGATCGGCTCGCACTCGGCAAGGACCCAGTGGGTCCCAGTGCCAGCGCTGCAGTCATGATCTCCACTGTATTTTTGAGTGGATTCACAGCCAATTCCATTAGAATTGATCAAAGATAGTTCTAGTACCATATTAATTTATGTTATAGAAATGTCTAAAAGCATAGCAGCCAGGATGATTCTAAAAGATACTCTGAAGCCCCAAAATATAAACCATCTGAACTTACATACTGCTCAATCAAACTGAGAAGGGCTCTTGAAGAAAACCTAACACTCTTAAGTGTTAAAACAGCCTTTTTATCATATAATCTTAGGTTTAAATTCCAAAGATTTTCTTTTTTAAAGGTGGGGGAGAATACTGCATTATTTTCTCCCTTAGGTATTTTGGAAATTGCAATTTTTCTTACACTCTTACCAGATTATTTTTAAAAGTCTTCTCATTGGATAGAAACATAAAAATTTGTTTATAATAGTAAAAATATGGACTTTGGATATCATAAAATACAAAAACTTCATTACATAAGGGGTAGTGAAATATCTAATGTCTAATTTACTAGAGAAGTAATAAGGAAAAATAATTGAATATTTTTTAGATTAAATGACAATTCAGGAAGGAATGCTTCATAGTGTACCCAAAAGTAACACGTCAAGTTACATTTTTAGATTTTATTATCTTTAATGAACTATCTTTAACATTTTACAAATCCTCAGATTGTTTCACTTTTCGGCATTAAATACAGTAGTAATGGTAATAAACACAGTGACAGGTGAGATTCCTCTGATAAAAGAATACAAAAGATAGAAACACCTGGAAACAAGAGGGTAACATGTCAACTCTAGGTCTGAGATGTCAACACAGTCCAATTCTTTACAATGCAGTATGTGGGGAAATGAGTAACTCATTCCCTATAAGTGAATATGTGACCTGGAGCTTCCACTTTCTGAAAAGTTTTGAGGGACATTATTTGACCCCCAGATTCCTAAAACTCTATAGTATGTATTGATATCAGAGGATTCAAGCACACAGAAAGTGACCTGAAAACGACTGCCAAGCCAAACAATGCTTTTATTCCTTAACATTTGTGACCTTCATAGTATATACTGTGTATTATAAAAGGGCATAATCTTGATATATAACTGCATATATGTCATAAAAATGGGTTTTATAAAGTCTCAAGACAATATGTATTCAAAAATACATATAGCTGTGCTTTAGTAAACGAATCTATCAGTTAATGAGGGATAATTTTGTTTTTAATATATATCCAAAGTATATACAAAGGATCCACAAATGTTAACAATTTGCAATCAAAATTCTCTAGGTTTACAGTTGCAAAAAACTGTTGGTTTTCAATTTAAAAATCTAAGAAAATTGTGAGCATTGACTGTATGTTATCACTTGGGTTAAGAAAAAGTAGGTGGCTTTAGCCTTTTAACAGGAAATTTGTGAACTACTCACAAATGAGAAGTCACACATTTTTTATCATTAGAAAATATTAAATTGCCTATACTCCCAATTGAGAACAGAATGTGCAGCATGTTTAAAAAAAATAAAGATTTTATTCTGAAACCAAAAAAGTATTTCTAGAAAAGCCCTTGGGGATACATCTCATTCCCTTTATACAGGAATAAATAAGTGGCATACCCGAACAGTATAATCTTATATCAACATGTGTATTCCATTACTAAGCTGAGAGATGAAACATTTTTAAAGGTGGGAAAAATATAAACTTAAGATGTTGAAATACAACATCTTACTATACAGCTTCTAACTTCATTCCAACACAATGTATCAATATAAAGTGGACTCAAGAAGTAAACAAAGGGAAGATGTTACTTGCATGCAAAATTCATTGTTCCAACATGAAACACTAGGTCTATATTTTAATAAAAACTGCACATCTAATTTGGCTAACAAAGAAAATGCACATTTAAGAAAGATGTTATATCCTTCTAATAAAGCAAGTCTATATCAAAGGCACTTCAGCAGAGCACTAACTCCTTAACATTTTCCAAGTCATTTTCATTTATGCCACTTAAAATGCATCTTTCTGTATAAGACCAGTAACAAACCTCCTCTAATTTGGGGCCTTATTACCAACTCCCTCAAAAAAGTGATCCTGGATATTACCCAAAACATTTCTTTCTCCTGTGGATTGGGGTAAAATACAGCAAACTTTTGCCTAGGTCTTTAAATGTTGTGGGTTAATACAGAAAGGTAGGAGTGTTATCTGACAGGTTAGATGTTTCAGAACTGGTTACAGGGAAAAACTGGCTGAAGTCTACTCTCTTGGGGAAAAGCTGTCGTCTTTCATTGTACATCCCTTTATAATTTGCCTAAAGCTAAGGTGGCCAATTTTGATTCTTTTGACTTGTGTGCCTTATGTCTCTATGCTGCCCCCATGTTGAATGGTATGGGATGAAAAGAAAGCAATTTAGTTTCATTTTTCCCCCCAAGGGAATGGGAAGCTGCTTCAGACATTTGCCTTCAAGGAAATTTTAGGGAAAATGGGATGAGTTGATTTTAATTAACAAAGAGCTTTATTTTTCAGACACATGAATGATAATTCAGAGTTGAAGACATTCATAATTAAAAAGAGCTATTGACTGTGTCCACACTGAATAATTTATGATGAAAAGAATATGGATATATTCTAAAACTAGGAAAAAATGTTGCAAATGCTACAAAAGTGATTTAGGGGGAAAAATTTACTCTTCTCCTGAAATTGAAACTGCTTTTCCCAAACATCTTTTATGAATGTCAATGGAAAGAATAAATATCTGGATGTATACCTATTGTCCTGAAGATATTTTTGAGTCTCAGGGAAATGGCATTTCATTTTCTGCTCGACAGTTCAGAAAAGAGTGAAATGTTTATTTATTTCAGCTCCATTATTTTTTTGGTGTTCATAAGGAACTTTCAATTCACTGTTTTTAAAAAATCAAGTTTAATAGAATATCTTAAAACTGACTTTAGCCTACATGTATCTGTTTGTCTTAACAGCTAAGTTTACTTCACTTTTCAAGGAGGGAAAAAGAAAATTTAAAGTAAATATTCACTATCAGAGCATTCACTTCTCAGACTTCTAAATAACAAATTTAATACCTTGTCATTTGTTCTGTGGTGTTATATCCCAAACACCAAAGAGCTGGCATCTCCCTCTCTAACAACCAAGTAGCTTCTTGCCCATCTTAGATGAGTGTGGGATTTACTTTAGGGTTGACACAATACACATGCTGTTTATTGCAAAAAGAAAATGTTGCCTTTTGACTCTAGAATAACATTCATCCAGAAGAGTTATCAAGTTATTTTCAAGCAATAGAGAACATAATAGTAACATTTCACAAGAATATGAGGCCTGAGGACTACGGTTTCATTTCTGAATGCTTCACAGGGGTAGTCATCAAAGCAGAGGCGACACTTTCGGGAGCAACCTTAGAGTGCATGTTTCTGGTTATTCTCACGAGAGTCAGGGCTAAATTGGCTGGCTGAGCAACATTTTTGAATAACTAAAACCTTGAACCTATTTTATATTTTGAACTCTTGGATACTTCAAATTCAGATGACCCAAAAATAAATGAAAAGAACGGGCCCGAAAAAGCATTCCTTGGTATCTTCCTCTCCCATGACTGAATCACCATTTTACTATTTACTCTGCTTGAAACATGTCCGGGGACCATGAGGTTGCTCAGTCTCAACTTCTTAAGACGTTTATACAGCAATTTACAACAAGAAGCAAGAACAAACAACATGACACAGCAGAGACACACCGCCCTCAGTGTTAATTCATGGGAATCAGTGGGCGTTCTTCTCGCTTCTTCCATATGTTAGTCTTGCTATCCTTTTTGGCTAGTGGTGGTCTGCCCCTTTTTTTGGTGGGAGATGTATTGGCTTCAAAATCTCCGATAGTGCTTCTCCTACCTGGTGACTCCTCCCCGGGGTGCTCCATGATAGCTCCACTCCCGCCATCCAGGATGTGCCTCAGCGCAGGGTCCTCAGGGGAGCAGACAGTGGTTCCGCTCTCGCTGCTGCTCAGGTCTAAGTCTTCTAAGTAAAGGATCTTAGGCTGATGCATGCTTTTGATAAAGGTTTTCTCCCTCTCGAGTTTCCTACTTGAGTGGTGCTCGTTCATGTCCACACCCGAATCCAGACTTGTGTCGTTGCTTTGGGCCCTCTTGCCCTTTTTCAGGTCTATAAAGGAATGCCGCACGTGGGCGACTGGCTTTCCGTCGAGAGACACGAACCAGGCTCGGGGGTGGGGGGAGGGCTTTCCTTTAGACAGCTCCAGGAGGGTCTGCTCCGAGATTCCTTGAAGCTCTGAGGAAAAGGGGGTCATCACAACAGCCTCATTTAGTGTTCCAGGAACAGACACTGACTCTAGCAAGCTGTTTGAATACCGGCTCCAATCTGAAGTCTGCGATGTCAAGCTCTGCTGACCCTCCAGTGGCATATTCTCTTCCCCGGCATCTGGCTGCTGTGCGAGAGAATGCATTGGCATTTTGGGCAGTGTCTGTGTGAAGTTCTCTCTGTTTACTGGTTCCATCAACTGGCCATAGACTAACTGTCCCTTTCTTGGCAGAGTAGCTGACTTGGCAGTATGTAACTGCTCAGCAGTGGAGAAGAGGTCAGATGTTTGAAGGATGGCAATGGGCTGGCTGTAGATATGCATGAGCTGTTCAGGAACGTGGGAATGCCCAAATACCTGTTCACTACCTGTGAGATACCTTTTTTCCTCTTGAGCTTCGCTTAGAGATGAAGACAGATTGTTAACATGCTTAGGTTGTTTGGACACTACACTGGGCTCCAAAGACTGTGCCGGGCTTCTTGAGTAATTATTTTGATTGAGTGACAGGAATGAAACATCTTCATTGTAGATTTTAAAACTGTCCCGAGTTTTTACCATGGAAACTCTTTCTTCTGCTTCAACCTTTGAAAGTTCTTTTTTCTGAGGACTGTATGAGGAGTTTTTGGCATTGAATAACTGTGATTTGTCCTCAGCTTTTAATGCAACTTTGACTGAACTGATGTGATTTATATGTGTGGTTGAAGTTGTCTGGTCTCTCTTGAGGACCTCGAGTTTAGTGATATTTCTTTCTCTTTTCTGCGGAGTACCACATTTACCCCTAGAGTAGAAGGCGAGGCAAAAAAATGTTAAAAACTTATGATCCAGAAGGCTCATTTTTAAAAAATCATCCCATAATATGTATATTACATATGCAATGCTAATATCCATTTTTATTCTAATCTACACATTTTAAAGCTCAAACCATTGATTTCTATATATAAACGTTGTAATGGACAGAACATACTGACACACTGTAAGTTGATAGTTTTCTGGATTGATACACTTTGATTAACACCGTTCTTACCTGCAATAACAAAGAAGTACAGCAAAAAATCCAATGACAATGACTATTGTTCCTCCTAGTATGGCTGTAAGAAACACAGTGTGGTAGGCAGTTATGTCCTTTGAGTCTCCATTTATACTTGAACCTAAGTGGTGCAATATAAGCAAAAAAAAAATGTATTATTTTAGACTGAATTTTCAATTATGTCCTATCTTGGGTGAGGTACACTAAGTATATGTACACAGTTGTATTTGTTTGCTTCCTTCCCCTGGCAGCTTCCCTGGGAGTGGAGAATACCTCCCCGACGCTTTGGGCTTCATCAATTGACTTGCTCTGCCCAGTGAAAAGTGAGCACCTTAAATGAGGCTATCTGCTATAGCCCTGCCCGCTTCCTAAGGCCCTCTACTATGTGAATAGTGCATCTCAGAGTGCTCTAGGTTCTAGAATGAGAAGAAATGTTAACTGAACTAAGCCAAGCCTGACAGTCATGAAATATCAGCAACAAATAAATGTTTGCTCTTGTTACCCACTTAGATCGCAGGTTTGTTTGTTACTGCAGCAATGACTGATTGTTGCCGAAGTTGGTACCAAGATGCTGAAATGCTGCTGTAGCAAAAACCTAATATAGGTGACACTAGCTTCTGGGTCAAACAGTAAGGAAACTATTTCAGGAGGCAGTAAAAATGGTGACCCAAGTTATGTGGTAGCAAAATATTTGATAGAATAAACTAGGAGAAAATATTTCCATTAGAACTTTGTGCCAAGAGGTTTTGAGATAGTTAGTATTATCGATATTCCATTATCAGCTGCATTTGATTTAAAAAATTTAAAGGTAAAATTAAAAATAGAATTTGCCAAAGTAACCAGGGATGAAAGAACTAGAGAGAAAACAAAAATCTGAACACTTGAAGCACTAAAAGTTACAACTCCTTCGGCCTGCACTCTACAGTAAAAGATGCTGAAGTCCCAGTAAGCTAAGTGCAACAGAGGCACAGCTGACCCACCGTCCTACTTTATGATAGCGTGGGTGCACGGCACATGGGCGCGCGCATACACACACACACACACACACACACACACACACGTGGTATAATCAGCTCAACTGCAGTAAAAGCAGATTAATGTACTGGGATGATCAGTAGTATAAACGTTCTGCATGAAAGTAACAACTAATCTTGAGGTAGTCTTTTTTAGTATCTCTAAGACTTCACTTTGATTTCAAATGTATGTAACAAGTGTACTGCTCCGTATCAACTAGCTTCTAGAATGTGTTCAGGGGATAAGGAAAGGAGAGTGGTGAGACAACTGGTTTTTCTGGTAACCTCTACCATGAGGAAACATCCAGAATGAGGCTTACAACTTCACCAAGGACACGAGAGAAGACTTAGAATCATCTAATTTGATAAAAGTAAAAGTAATTATAATATTACAGGATTTGGAGAAGCAGTATTGTGGTTATGGATATAGGCTTTGGAGCCAAAGTACGTGAACTGGAATCCTGGCCAAGTTGCACTTCTTTTTGTCTCAGTTCTTATCTGTCACACCTCATCCATGTGGGTTGTCATGAGGATTAAATGAGTTAATACTTAGGAAACACTTAGAACAGTGCTTAGCACATGATGAACACTTAAGTGTTAGCTATACTATACCACTGTTAAACTTTGAGGTTATATAAAAGCAGGTACTTTAGTAATGGTCACATTTTTCTATATGGTAACTAATAATAAAGTGCTTGTCATGTCTAACAGACAACTAAGAACAGTACCACACAATATGAAATTTCTTTAAACAAAAAAGAAATATGAGTCACAGCTCTATCTACAGATTCTTATTTAGGATCCAGAGCTGCAAGAGAATAAAGTTTGCTTATAACTGGGTGAAATTCAGCTTCTCCTAAGAATATACAATAAAGTTAACAACTTTCACTCCACAGGATTCCAGTGGAACACACTTTTGGAAATAAAAGGAGGATACAGTAGGGTTTGCCCCAAATCTTGTATGTATGACAATAGCAAAAGAGTATACATCTGCATGTGTTAGTGTATGTATGTGTGTGCATGCCTAAATGGTTAGAAAGGTAGAAATTTCAATATATTTTCATTCAAAAGTATTTGAAAATAGTATTTAAAAACATTAATATGTACTTTTTTTTAAACTCCGTAACTCAACCACCTACTTACCTACAGCAATATATGAAAAGCTACTTCATTTTAATTTCTTGTACTTAATATTTTTCTCAAGGAACTCTGGAATTCTATTTAAGATTTATTTTAAAAACAGAATTAGTATATCATTAGCCAAATTTTAACTAAAGTAGTTCCAGCATGCCAGACACTAACTAGTCCATCATAGGACCAGTTTTAATTTTACAGTAACAAGACGAATACTCAGAGGGGTAAGTACCTATTTCAAGCTCACCAAGTTGAGTTACTGGCAAGCCAAAGCTATAATCCCTTATCCATATTTCAAGTACAGTGTTCCTTTGATTGTGATATGCTTTCACAGAATGGATTTTTCAAAAGCATCACAAGAAGAAATGAGAATCCCACACTTAGTTCTCCAGATCACACAAAATCTTCTCCTGTATATAAGCTAAAACAAAACTTCTACCTATTTTAGAAAATTATTTCAGCTTTTATAATTTAGTCATTTTATATAAATTGGTTGTTCAGGCATATTTTGAGTGGGGAGTACACTTATCTATAAAATTCTGTGCTCCTTAGGTTATTTTTATTAGAAGTAATTTGGATTTAGGTGAGTTGAATACATTTAATTAAATATTAATTGTTGTTTTTAATTAATACTTAATTATGGTTGCAAATCTAGAATGGGATAAGGCCAGACAGCTGGCAAGACTGCATGATTATTTTGTATCATGAAGGAGAAAAGTAACCACCCTCTGGTTTCAGAATAAATAATCTCTAAGTAAACACTCAGTTCAAACAGAAACATAACATCCCCTCCTCATCATAATGGTTAATGGCTCATTATTTCTTCTATTGGAATATTAAATTTGGGTCCACTGTGAAAAAAAGTCTTGTCACCTTGCATGGTTTAAAATTCAAAGATCGTCAACATAAAATGAAAATATTAATCAAACTATTAAAAAAACTTTTCAGAAAAAAAAACCTGAGAGCTTTCAAATTATTAACAGATGACCACAACCACGTTAGAGGACAGAATGCTGAAGAGAAGTGTATGTAAAACGTCACCCGCACCCTGGATCAGGGTGTGCACGGTGGCCACTCCTGACCAGCATGAAAGGGGCGGCAGCCGTCTCTCAGCTTGGAGCCAAGACGCTTGATGAACCAAAAGAGGTATCTGCGGCACATGAGAGAAGGGATGATGTGCATTCATATTGCACTCTCTCAAAGCTTCACTATGATGACACTGAAAATTTTGCTTTGTTTCTACCAACATTCAAACCCACAGGTTAAAGGAGAAAGATACCAGACAAGAGCAACAAGATGCTGATGGCTGGAAAGCTGACTTAGCAAAGCTGACAGCAGGCCCATGGTGCAACCAGTCTATACCACAGGTTAGAAGATTTTTCTTTTTTTTTTTTAAGGTGATTTCATGGATAAAAATGGAATGTTTGAGTATTTTGACTTACACAACTCAAGATGAATATGGGATTTCCTTAGGTACAAATCACATAGGGAATTTGATACCATGTTAAATGCAGGGAAATGACATACTCATCTCTCCTAGAATATGAATAGATCATTCCTAGTAGACAACTCTTACTTTTCGTCCACCTTTCTGTTCACATGTTAGGCAGTCTTCATTTGGAGTATCACTTTTACCTTGGAAACAGTCTGGGGATACTGTTATTCAGCATCCCTCCCTCAGTGGGGTGTGCTCGTGACCCAAGTCTAGGCCAACCAAATTCTGCATCCCTAGACCAGGAACAGTGTGAGGAAAAGACTGCAAAGGGTTGGGTCAGTCATCATATAGTAATCTTGCAAATACAGTCAAGTAGGCCTGCTAACTGGGCTTTCTGGAATTCCTGCCTTTTAGAAGGTTCTTCAGGCTTCCTTGGAATCCTATGAACTCCTTATACCTTAATACTTTTTAAAAATTACCTAAAATCTGTCCAGGTTGCTTGCAAACAAAAGCTCTAACTGATCTGGATACAATTTATTCATGAAAAATAAACTAAGAAAATTCCTGATTTGAACAAACTTCATACTTCACAGATTCATCAAACATAGCTATAAAGACCTTAGATTTCATGAAGCTTAACCTTTCTTATACACATGAAAAAAATAAAGCTGAGATCAGAAGACTTCTTCCAGCATCACACAGTAGGTATGTGGCAATGCTTAGAATAAAACTGAGAACTGATATCAGTTCCAGTATGACTATTTATACTTCGTTAAAATTACTGTTGTTTCATGCTCACAATACCTCTAGTTCCTGGAAGTGGAGCTGCTATCCAGTAGCCCAAATGTGGCGCATCATATGTCCAAATTAAATGATTATTATATTCCTTGACCACTCCCCGGCCATGATGTACCCAAGTACCTAAAAAGGCAAATAAAAAATACCAACCAGTTAATTTCTGTATCTTTAATGCTGATAGTCATGTATAGAATACTTCACAGGACTTTTTCAAAGATTTTGAAAACTACGGCTATATATTTTCTTGGGATAATATGTAATGACATATAGTACATAATACATAAGAAAAATTTGAATATTTGTTATGACTGAGAGCAATAAAATAATTATAAATGAAGGATGTGGGCATATTTAGGAAAGCCATGACTCTCTGAGTAATGTTTAAATTGTGCATATTGAAATGTCTTACACATGTGAGTAGTGAAATACAAATTTATTAGTAGGTGGTTATTTGTCATATCTTGGAAATCTGTTTAAACACTTATAGTGTATGTTTTACAGCCTTACTCATTTTTTTATTAAGTACTATTTTCTAGTACTATTGACATAGGTCTTTCAGAATTAAATTTTTAAAACTTTTTAAAAATGCTACCTGATCCAATAAAATACCATCAGAGAAAAAAAGTTCAGTGAAACCATACCTTTTATTAAGTTCAGCTTAACAAAGCTATTTGTAGGTTTGGTGTATATTTATATTTGGTTTATTGATTCATTTTAATGATGGGTCTGCAACATGTGAAACTTTTTAATAAGGTAGACAAACTTGAAATGATGGAAATAAATCAACCTATTGCTTTTTAAATAGCTGCATTAAAATTAAGCATTACATATGTGATAATTCAAAAACTGGGTCACCAGAAGGCATATTAGAGACAAAGGCCTTTGTCAGGAAGAACAATCAGAAATCAGGACTCAAAAGAGATACTTTGAAGTGTTTTATTTTTAATACTCTCATTGAACAGATTAGGAAATTGAGGCCTAGATAAATTAAGTGGTTTGTTCAAAATCACACTGCTGGTAAATGGACTAGGATGCAAATCTTAAAGCTCTTAATCCAGAAATTAACAATAGTATACTACTGTGACATGGTCATTTACAATAAGGAACACATATTTGGTTTTGCTCCCTAGTCCTGTGTGATACGAGCCATAAAGGTGGAGAGACTGCCTTTTGTTATTTGCAACAAGCCACTTTCAACCACACCTAGGTTTGTTAATGAGGTGATTTCTGGAAAATCCCTATGCATGAGGGGCCGGTCACCTCTAAATATAAGTGACATATTTTAATATGCTTTAAAAAAGGCATATTAATTTTATTCTAGATAAAAAATATGGAAACTTTCAATTATATCTCAATAAAGCTGAAAATGTTTAAATAAAAATAATATAGAAACATCATCTCTATGATAAAACATTCAATAGAAAAATATTCAAATTTCTGAATATTTTCACCTAGCTCACATACCTGTGTTCATATCAAATGTCCAGGCAGGTATGTGATCCCCTGTATTTATATCATTTGTATGTAGAAGGGGGAGAGAAACTTGAATAGAGCCATCCACCTTTAATTCTTTGCCTCCAGAATATATTTTCACACATACTGCAGCAAGAGGAGTCAATTCAATGCTTTCAAAACCTAAAAAAAAGATGGCTTATTAAAATCAGACATAAAATACAGGTTGTAATTACATATTAATAAATAAGTAATACAGACCTAAAATATCTATTTCCTCTATTTCACCCAGAGTTATCCATCTTAATATCAAATAGATATTAAACCCTAATTAAAGATTTTTAAAATATAAATATAGGCTATACTTATACAACTAACAAATCAATATGAGCCTAGGGATCTAATTCTGTCATCTGACTTAAAGTCACTAAAATCTAATTCAATGTTTTTAAACACCTACAAACCCAACAACCAAAAGAACACTATCTCACTAGTGTCATACCCAAATAAAGGCTCTACCAGTACCACACCATCAATGCAGATATGGGTCTAAAACATCTGTCTTCCCTGCTCCAAAGACCATCTGTTCCAAGCACTAGAACCAAGGGACTCAGCTGTACTCCTTAAAGGTACTTTATGTAAAAAGCATTTTGAGTCAAAATGCAATTTTTAATAGGTCTGACAAACATAAAATAAAACCAATATTTTAGCTGATAAAAATAGGCTCTGCTATATATTGGATTATAATCCAATAGTGGATTATAGTGTAATAATAACAGACTAAATGTTAATATTACTTAAGACTTCAAAGCTTGATAAATAGGGGGAAGGAGAGTAACATGAATTGGTTATGTTTTACCTCAGATTTTAAAGATTTCATTATACAATTCATAGTATGCCTTCTAAAATATCAGGAGCTACCTACATTTTTCTATTACTTGGTGGGTGGGGAAAGCAGAAAATGTGTTTTTGTTTTTGAAATATTAGCAATGTGGAACATATACACCAGAATATTTACAACAAATAAAATATGATTATAAATGTTAAAACTATAAATTTTCTACAAATAATTTGTTAATTTTAGATTTTTCAAGTAATTTACTAAAACCTTAGAAAGATCTGACTAAAGTATACTTGTTACATATTATTTGCTCTTTGTGGCTAAACTTTTTTCTAATCTTTGCCTTAAAAACTAGATGTCTATTCATTTAAAACTAGATGTCTGGCCCCATTTCACTAATCCTGGCTCCAAAGATACAGTGAATAGATTATCTCTTACACTGCCTGCAATACTTTTTTTTTTACAATTCTAATTACTATCAAAAATCCTTTCCTTCATTTCTTTACTCATTCAGTTTTCCCCCACTTGTCAGTACTTTGAAGAAAATCGGGGAAGGCAGTGTAACTGGGGTGGTCTGAGGAGGGGACATTTGAGCTATGGCCAAATAAGGTGTTAACCAAGCAAAAAAAAAGACCTTGGAGAAGACTTTACCAGGCAGAGGAAACAAGTGCAAAGCCCCAGGTCAGAAGTAGTCTTGGCACATATGAGAAAGAAAGACGACTGGAGGGCAGAGAGAGGCGGGGACAGCACAGGGCCTTGGAGGCCATGGAACGTACTTCTCATGATTGCTGCTGCTCTATCTGGAATGTGTTTTCGGTTATGAGACAGGGCAACTGCTGGCTTCTTGAAAAATTTCAGTTGAATATAAGGGCATTAACATTTCTAAACTTCCTGAAACACTAATCATAAGATGAGCAAAGTAATGCTATGTATATATTTTGTAAACTAGTTATACTGGTAAGTAATCCAATGTAAATTCAATCTCAAACATTTTAGTAAACCCAGCTGGCTTTCTGAAGTGACTGCTCTAACTCTACCCCTCACTGCTAAGCAGTCAGTGGCTTCACATACCCAGTACAGTTGAAACTGATGAGCCTGGCACCCCACCATTTGGGATAAGGCCAACTCAAAGAAGAAAGGAAAAAAAGAATGATACAAGGGAAAAAAGAGACACTGGACAACATGCCTTCATACATGATCATAGAACTCTGAACCGTGCAACCTGATACCACCTGCAGCATGTGGCAGCTTAAATGAAAGCAGTTTAGTTCCTTACTGCCCTAGTCATATTTCAAGAGTGCAAGTACATGTGGCTAGCAGCTGCCATACTGGATAGAGCAGAATATCATTTCCCTTTTGACAACACCTCTCTATAACTTTTAAAATGTTAGCAATATTCTCAGAATAACTGAAACATTGAATGAATAACCTCAAAAGCAGGGAGCAGAGGAATATTGGAAGGCAGAGCACACTTCCTCCTATTTAATGAGTCTTATTTATAAAAACCCTCCAGGGCAACGTGAGCTTCATTTATGATATGGTGTAGTGGTACCATTCCTATAAATGTTTTGTTAGCGCATCCTATAACTTACATGTGGAAAATTTTGGCAGCTATCTCAGATTGGCTTCAAGAAGCAGACCCTAGGAGAACAATTTGGGAGGATGCAAGCCAGCACAGGATGTGTTCACAAGTAGGTATGTACTCTTTATGTGCTCGTATCTGTCACTGGTTGAAAGCATGCCCCTTGTGAAGGCCAAGACAGCATCCTGGACCAGGGAAGCCCTCAGGCACTTACAGAGGTATGTAGCAACACAGGTTCAGAACAGAGGAGTAAGGGTCATCGGGCTGGGGCATTAGTGACATCAGCTACAGCAGGTAAGGAAAAATAATCAAAACAACTGTATGCTTATCACTCTAATTTCTGGGTGTTCCCAAATGAAATGAATGAAAATTGGACAGAACTGAAACCATCAAAATTATAAACTGTCTCAGATGATTTTAAAAACAGAGGTTTTGATGCAGAAGATCAAGGCCTAGCTTGGATACCCAGAAAATGAACTAAGATACGATATGAGGAGGAGCTTCCGGCATCAGCACTCTCTGGAGGACTTGTGCCGGGGGATGATCATCAAAAAGCCTCCACAGGTATCCGGACGATGCTGTGGTCGTGGCTGCATCCAGCCCACCATCTCCTGGACTTGCCATAGGAATG